GGGTTTGAACCGCCAGCCTTCTGGTTAGCAGTAAAGTGCCCTAGGCACTATGCTACCAGAGTTCCCAATAATATTATTAGTGGTTTTGAAGCAGACAAAAACAAAGAAACTAAAAAAAAGGAAAAAAAAATCTGGACAAGGTGGGGCAGGGCACCCAGGCTCTCTAGGAGCACACAGACTGGAATGGAATTCCTTTTAGCCTAGGTTTTAGTTGGGAGTGAGGGATGGCCTCATCTGCATTCACCAAGAGGGTGTGAGATACAAGAGTAACAAGGGGAATGTTATACCTTTTCAGTAGTGCGTGAGTCTGGGATGTCTTTGTGGTTCCTGGCAAGTGGAGCCTGTTCTTACGTCCCTGGAATCTGGGAGAACACTGTCGCTTTAAATACCCAAAATGTTCAAGCTACTTGTAAACATTCAAAATGGTGTGCCTTCCGGACAAGCAAAAGTCCACAGCTCAGCCCGCTTTCCTCTTAGCTGCTGCTTCCCCTTTTATTCCCCAGCCACCAGAGCAGTCCTCTGTGCAGTCTCTGCCTAGCAGGGCTGAGTTTTAGGTTAACTCTTAGGTCCTACCACCACTCAGCAATGTCCAAGCTGTCTATGTTGTCATGACCGCTGCCAGACTGCAGTTCCGTATGTCTCCTTTTTTGATATTTTCATGCAAATTCTTCTGCTAGTTGGAGCTTAGTCCATTTCTATATCCTTCCCTTCAAGGTTCAGGGATCCGGGATTATCTTCTGTATCTGTGCTAATTGGTTCCCATTTTCTTTTTTGAAGAGGGTCTGTGCAGTCTTTCTGCCTATTCCGCCATCTTACCGGAACTCCTAAAAGTTTATTTTTTTCCATATGGATATCAGATTGTCCTACCACCTTTCATTGAAAAGACCATCCTTCTCCCACTGCTATACAGTGCCACTTTTGTCCTAAATCAAGTGTTCATAAATATGTGGCTTTTTACTCTGGAACTTTTATTCTCACCCTGGGCCTTTTATTCTGTTCTGATTTTCTGTCATTGTGCCATTTTTCTGTGGCTCTATGTTGTTGTTGTTGTTGTTGTTAGGTGCCGTCGAGTTACTTCTGACTCATAGCAACCCCATGCACAGCAGAACGAAACACCGCCTGGTCATGTGCCAGCTCCATG